AGGCACTGTTTTGACGGTTACTGAACGATATAAGAACATATGACACCAGATTATCAAGATAATTACTATAACAGTGTCAATATGCTAAAATTCTTCTTAAAAGTAAAGTGTGATCGTACAGAACGATTTGAAAAAATAGAAGTCTTCCTCGACTCCTTCATTACAGTATAACTTTCAAGAGGTCATCATGAATTTCATAGAAATCATCAAATTTTGTTAGAAGTATTGAATACTGGCAGAAGAAATGTCGGTATGATCTCAGCTATACGTTCTTCACAATTAACGGAGTCCAGAAGCAGAAGAAAGAGATTAGACGGCTCAATACAGAAGCCTAATTCTATCATAAATTGTAACAAATATCTTAAGCTTATAGATTGTGTGGACCTAGAAAAAACAAAAAAGTGGACTAAAGGAGTTGTAATATTATTTATAAACTTTTCACTTTTAATTCATTTAAAGCGTACATGGTTCTAAACGGGGGAAATATTACATTGAAAAATTCCCTGCTCTAATTGGCAGTTTCATGGATAGAAGATTGTGAAACTAATTGTCCAGAACAAAATGCTGATCTACCTAGTTCTGAAACCACAAAGAGAATACTCAGATTAGACCATCGTGGAAGACTGCTGAATTATGGAAAACATAAACTTATAAATATACTGACTAGTAGTCAAAGTGTAAAACCCCAAAGAAAATGCAGAGTCTGTGCAAGTAAAAAAAAAAAAAGAATATGTTTTGTCTGTAAATTTTGCAATGTTTCACTAAACAAAGGTGACTGTTTTGACAAATATACTTTAAAAAGTATTAAACTATTTCTTATTTGAAGTATGTCAATATATCGATTATGGTATACTATTTAGGATGTTTCTGAATTCTGCCAACAAATTTAGAGGGATGATGGTAGACATCAAGAGGATGAAAAATTACCATAGAACATGGAGTCTCAAACCACATTTAGTTAATAAAAATTGCAAAAATAGATGTTAATGGGATAGTGAGCCTGACAAAGAGGAGTAGCGAGGATTATGAGCACTGTGGTCAAGAAGAAGGAACCTTTTCACATGTAAATTTCCAATGTGTATGGAGAAAATGAAAAGCAGTGGTCGAGAAGCAGAACCTTCTTGTATGCAAATTTCCTATGCATATGGAAGGAAAAAAAAACATGTACAAGTATTCATTAGTGAGCATTGCAGAATTCATGGGTAATAAACTTCATTTGGGGACAACATGTCAAATTATACAAAAATATGCAGATTTCCATCTGATTTATGGCCTAGCATAAAGGATGATTGCCAAGAGCAATAGCCAGCGAGGCACTTTCCACACCATACTGTCTTCACAAACATTAATTGGCAGTTGCGGGATACGGATCCTTCCAAAAAAAGTGAGGCATAATGCGGGAAAAGAAAGCAGTGTGTGCACACCTGAAACAGAAAACCATGTATTGAAATGGTTTGTTGTTTTCTTGTCGACCGGTACACTATCAGTTGCAGCTGAACTTGGTGTTTGTCATAATATAGTGTGGAAGGAGGTTCTGTGTGCAGAAAACATACACCTGTTCCACTTGCAGAAGATCTAAGTCCTAGGAGATGCCGACTACTCCCTTTGGGTAAAGTTTATACAAGGTGTGTTCGAAACGTTTGGTGATTGGTCTCATAATTAAAAAACCGCGCCGGTTAGGATGTCACACTCACGCAGACGCAGTGAGAGAAATGTCATCTAGAGCCATCTAACGGCCATTTTACGACAGATAAGAAGAAGCGCACGAGCAGTTTAACACAGTCAGTGTGAGAAAGATTGTCACTGTGACATGGAGCAATGCATAAAACATGGTTTTGCTTCGAGTTAGGCAAAACGGCAACGGAGACACATGAAATGTTAGTGAAAGTTTACGGTCAGGAAATCTGCTCCATGACAACGCCCGGCCGCACACTGCAATCCGTGTAACCCAATTCCTCGACAGGCGCCAGGTTCCAGTTTTGGATCACCCTCCATATTCTCTAGATCTGGCTACCGTGGACTTCTTCCTGTTTCCCCACCTCAAAGGAGTTCTGAAAGGCCAACACTTTTCCGACATTACTAAGATCCAAGAACGTGTGACAACGGGGCTTCGAGACATACCAAAAGAAGCGTTTGCAGACACTTTCCAATAATTGTACACCCGTTGTCAAAAGTGTATTGTTGCTAATGGCAAATACTTTGAAGGCCAGTAAAGGTATTTTGCTTGTTTCTTGTGTTTCCTTGGTAAAATTCACCGAACTTTTCAAACACACCTTGAACGCTGGATCCTTGATGCCATATAGAATAATTCATAGTTTCCCCACCACTGTTTTATTCTTAGATGAAGCCTGCTTAACGAGAGAAGAAGTGATCAACATGAAAATCCCCACAGCAGTGTCTTGTGAGAAGTGCAACACAAGTTTGGTATTAACAATCTGGGCAAGGATTCTCAGAGATCTTCATTGAGACTGTATCTTCTGCCCGAGCACTTCAGTGGCTCAAATTACCTTGTATTCCTACAGCATGCATTTGCAAATTTAATGCAGGGAATACCGGCCACTGTGTGTTAAAACATGTGATTCATGCATGATGGTACACTATTACATTTTGCAAGTGCTATAACCACCTTGATGCTACAATATCCCAGAAGGTGGATCGGACATGGCAAACCTGTTGCTTGGCCTCCAAGCTCCTCAGACCTCAATCCCTTGATTATCATCTTCTGGGGCTACCTGAAATCAATTGTCTATCAGACACCTGTAGATATACTGGAGATCTGATAACATGGGTCATTGTTGCTTAAGCAGACATCAACAGCACACTGGGTATGTTTGAACGTGTCTGGCAATATTTCGTCCATCTGTGTCAGCTGTACAATAACATTCACAGACCTTGGTGGCTGCAACTTCGATAAAACTATCTGATTATCTCCTTTCTGACATTGAACTGTGATGCTTTGTAACCCTGCTTTACATCAAATAAATATTTTTCTACTTAGTATTGGCCTCTTTTGTTCCATTTGATGTCACATCCTTCATAACTATTTTGGTGATTTTTTTCGCACTAAATATGGTTTGCGACCCCATGTTCTGTTGCAATTTTTCATCCTCTTGATGCTTTTATCACACCTCTGTTAGTCGAATTCAGAAACACCCTTTATAACTATTAAACTGAAATCCTAGTAATAGATAAAATAAATTACCATTAATATCAGTAAAAAATTTCATTAAATCTAATTCTTCTATAACAAAAGATGGGTAATTTTGTCACAGCATACGAAAAGTCTAAACCGAAACAGAGCTGAGTGGCTGGTCAGATGTACATATGCTGTTGAACTACTAGCAGTCAGTAAAGTGTTAAACCTTCGAAACGAGTCCTACAAATTTTGAATATTATGCTGATTCTTTTTGCTTTAACTCCTCCGATAAGTATCTCACTGTTTTTTACCATAATGAGAAACTGTTGAAATTAAACTTACATTGAAGTTATTTTCCCAGAAATTATCCTTCCATGCAATGGATGACATCCATTTCTTCTTTAGTTTTTCATTTCTTGAACCTTCAACTGAAACTTTTGACTTAAGCTGAAGGGCATTTTTAAACAATAGCAAAAAATATTAAAAATGAAATGTGCACATTACAAATATCTGTAATTAATGTTTCTAGCATGTGCTTTTATGTTTTTACCTTGTTAGTTTTTTGTTCCCGTTTATAATTCTATATGCGGATAACAGTAGTTGCTGAGGGTGGATGTGAACATGGCTCCTAATTTTCATGCCTTTAATGTTGATCGTCAACTATCGCTACACTAGCATTATACAATATGTATGGTTGTGAGTTGATTGGAGGCAATTTTTAAAGCGACTACAGTTTTCATTAGTAGTTGCCTTGGTGATGTATACTGTATTGTAATAAAGCACTATTCTCGTAGTTAGTATTATATAACAGTGTTAATATTATTTTTTCTCATTTTGGAGAAGGCATTCCGGATTCTGTTAAGCATTCTGTCGAAATAGTTAATAAAGCAGCTATTGCCACTGAATAGCAGTTAATCACGAAAATTGAACAATGTGAAATTGCTGATGCATAACTGAAATAAATCCACTGGAGGATTACTGCTCATAAAAGGGCTGCAAATAAATGCAATCACCCCCCCTTTTTTTTTTCGAGTTTTTTAACTAAGTAAATATGTATGTCTTCATGTAGTATTCAATTAATGTATTAGCACTTTTGAGTCTTAAGCATTTTATTCTTCTAGCAGTAGTGAGAATAGTTGAGCAATATCAAGCAAACTAATACCAGTCCAACATTCGTGAACATTCGTTATCCAACATTCGTGAAGTGCAATAAACCAGCATGACTTGAAACTGAGAAAATTTATAGTGTTTTTCACAAAGTAGTATGATGTACATTCCATTATTTAAATACAACCCAGCAACCAGATATCTGAAACTACAAATCGTGTGTTAACTTATGCGTTTTAAATTTTTTTATTTATGGTCAATGTAAAAGGTAATGCAAGAAAATTCAAATTATGCAGAAGTGTAATTAATCAGGTTGCTTTTTCTTGCAAAACTGTGTAAATTGGAATTTGCTGATAATTTTTTTGTGTATATCCTTATTTTTTCATTGATTTTATAACATTCACATAAAGCAAGACACTGTTTAAAGTCAGATAAGAAAACCTCATAATCATGCAATAAAAAGTAATTTAACACAGTACTGCATATTATTAGTAAATATATAAGTTTTCAGTAACATGTCATTTCATATCAAATTATGTTTTGTGTCTGTTGTTCTTTGTTTATGCTCTCTATCATCATTTAACTACTTTCCCATTGTTTTAGTTAATAATGTTTTGAGATTATTAACATGCAAGGTATAATAAAAATATTAACATGCATGATATGATAAAAATATTTGTTAAAACTAGTAAATAAATCTTTTTTAAAATTTAATATTTAACACTTGAAAGGTATTGCATTTTATTTAATGTTTTAGGTGCAACAGATGTGTCGGCATTTTAGAATACATTGCTTTTCATTGAAGAAAAGTGTAAAAGATTGATGAAGCACCATTCATGGACTTACAGTTGCACTATTATATAATTGTACACATTAGAAATTTTATGTGAAGCAAGTGTGATGGCTCTAGTTTTAAAGGACATAAATTTTCCATTTCATCTGACATTCATGTGATTATTTTTTGTTATAAATTATTTTGTTTGCAAGAATCTTCAGTACTTTTTATAAATAAACAAGTGTTTTCCACTTGATCTATATATATATATAAATATATATATATACACATTATATATTTTATTATTAATATTTTTTAATTTTAGTTTAAATGTATGCATTTAGGCTGCTTATGAAGCTCATCACATGCCAAAATATTGATTATAACTAAAAATATATCATTTAGTGTAGCGTATATAATTATATATACATTATATGTAAATTATCTACTTTTAAATCAGATTGATTTATCATTTGATATAGCTATTTTTACTTTGCTACTTACTAAGATTTAAGAGTAATTTTATTTATTTTATGTACCCTCAAATGTGCATCTTTGATTTCTGTAATGTAATCCATCTCTTTAAGGAACATAAGCTGTAAATAATTATTCTGTAAGAGAATTCGCAAACTTTCAGTTGCTTCAAGGTGTTATGTTGATTGTGAAATCTTGCATGGTTTGTGATATTTGAAAAGAAAATTGTGATTCTAAGTTTTGTCATGAAATGCTGTTACTTACTCAACTAGTCTTAAAAATCTTTGGATATGTTTTTGTAAATATATTGAATTTAATGTTAGTGATGAGTGTAAACCTTTGTCTTTTTCACCCCAAGAAACTGTGTTTTAATCTTGAAGAAAAAGTATATTTACTGTGAATTTATAAATTCTTACACATATATGAAAGTGAACATCCCTTTTCGTTATAATTCATATGAATCCAAAGGATGCAATAAAATTTTTATGAATGTGCAAAGAATTATATATGTTCATTAAAAATTTTTTTATCAATTATTTTTTAGAATAATTAATATCTAAAACATCTGATGTATTTTGTGTTGGAAACTGCTTGATATTTTTAGTAATATGTTGTTTTATTTGTAATCAAATGTAAATCAGCTTTTCTTTGCATAATAAAATGTTATTGCATAATATATTATTATGAATTAAGGAATTATTTTTTAATTTCTGTAATAGAAATTTTCTAGATGTCTGTATATCATATTTGCTAATTTCTGTAATAGACATACCCTAAATACACATAAGTCATTGTTTTTGCTGTATTTTCAGATTTTGAAAAGGCAATAGTTTATCATTATATATAAAAAGTGTTTTATACTTGTTATGCATGTTATATATGCAGTGCATTTTAAAAATTATTATGTATATCGTATTACATAAAACTATATATATATATATATATATCATGATGTATGTATTTCAGGCATGTGGCTAATTAAGTATGTACTTTGAAAAGGTGAATCAACTTAAATAAATGATGAATGTTCAAATATTTTCATTTCGATCAGGGCTTAAAGCTGAGTTCTTCTTAATAATAGTAGCCTAGCATGTTTTTTTCTTCATTTTGATAACATCTTGCTGTTCCTTGGCAATTATGTGTCATATATTAAGAAACATTTTATATTTTAATACATAAAGGTTCAATATAAATATTTATATGTTATTTTTATACAGTTACTTAATGTACAAATCATTGAAATATTTGTAATTAATGCAACCTATGATTGTTGAACCAAAAATATCTAAAGTAAACAAACTTCATTAAACTTTGTAATGTAGTGGTATTTGCAATATATATTAATATATGTATGTATATTATCTGTAGCACACTTTATTGCATATGTAATATTTAAAACTGTCATGTATAATTTTTTAATGCTGTAGCTCACAAATTTTTGTCACTATATATTCTGCATTTGATTAAACTATACTTTCTTTTCTAAGTTAAAGTACCATACTGATTAATGATTAATTGGATGAGTTAAAGCAACAACGATTAGCATAATGTTTATAAATTTGCAGAACTAATTTCAAAGGTTTTGATATAGACCTTTCTGCAGCTCAAGAAGGCACTATATATAAATCTTTAAAAGTAGTCCTGCAAATTTATAAATATTATGCTGATTTTTGTTGCTTTAACTCCTCTGATTAATTATACTTTCTTGTGTTATTCATTTATTTCTCTGTCACAGAAAGTTCATTCAATCAGGTTGTATTTTTTTTTTTTTTTTTAATATACACATAGATACCAGGTCACATAAATTCTTTATATGGAAAAAAAAAGTTAATTGTTTGGATCTTGTGTAAAGAAACTAAAATTGTTTGGCTGAAAAAAACAAGAACTGTTTTTTTTAAACCATTATCTGGTTCTGATGGTGATTACTTTGCATTTCAATTAATGTTGATATAAGTGAGATCTAATTGCTGTATAATGAATGCAGCTGTTATATAATTTTCCAAATGAATTAAAATCATTCAAGATTGGGAGGTATTGATGAGAAAGTATGCCAAATAAATGGGGTTGTTTTTTCCTATGTCAAAAAGTTATGTTTAGTGATAAGTCTGAATTTGAAATGTTTAATTTAGTTATTGAAATTTTTTATGTTAAATTTATTATTATTTTGTATTAAATGAGAAATTATTTTTATATGTAAAATTTGGCTTTTGTTTCAATTAAGTGTGTAGCAAAATATCTAATCATTATTTATTAAAGCCTTTTATTCGCATAAAGATATTTAATGACTCATCTCTCTTTTATTTATTTGCTTCTCCTCCCCAAAACAATAATGAGACTAATTTTCCTTTCTGCTAGTTTGTTTAACCTATAACTTGCTTGTTATGTATATTGTATATTATTTTGGCCATTGTTCTTGTTCTGAGGAGAGAAAATTTCTGTTGTTTTAGAAAAGGACTTGCAGTATTTTAAGTGTATATATAAAGGGGAACTTCCTTCTGCAGACATTTGTGAACTTGCGATAAAGGTATCGTAACTTTTCAGGTAGTGCATTCCTTCCCACAAAAAGATAATGTAACTGTCCTGATAAATAATAGGCAACTTAATTTTAAGTTTAAAAGGATGTATATATCTCGTAATAATGATTTGGTTCTTATTGAACTGAATCAAAGTTAAATAATCTTTTAATTCTTTTTTGGGGGAACGCATATCTGTGCTATTTAAAATACTCCAGTAAGGTGTCTAGCTGAGTAAAAGAAGTGGCAAGAAAACTTATTTGCTGTTGAATATTTTGCATATACAATAAAATTCTGTGATTTAACATTACCTGCCATGTTTCACTCCAAAATTCCACTTCTAAGTGTTGATTAAAAAGTTACATACTATTATTATATATAAAAGTCTCATCTGTAAGGACAGTAATCTCTTTTTTAGCAGTTTGGCTTTCAAATATGAATAAATATATAAGGGAAAAGTTGAATAATGTATCTGTAAAGAAATTTGTCACAGTTTGAAAACTTTTTTTAATACATTTCGTTGATATCTTAGCACTTAATAATTTTTACTTTTAACATTATGCAACTCGTCTGTATATATCTGGAAAACATTGGTACAAGACAGAATGTGCATAGATTTATAAACATGTTTTGTTGTAGTTCTGAGAACATACATTAATTAAGAATAACTGGTTAGACTGTAACAAGCAAACAAACAAAGAACCATAAATCCTGTATTACCCAACATTGCTGATTAAAAAAAACTTTTTTTTTGCAGCTAAAATCTTTCAAAAAACATGTTTTTACAAATTCAATTAACTGGAGATGTCTTACATTAGTAAAAATCTTTCAGTTTTGTTTAATGATACCAAATTTTACCTGTGTTTGAGTTAAACTTTTCAAGAAATTATTTCATAGTTGCTTTCTCTCTTTATATATATATATATATATATTGAATAGACGGCTCTTGTGGCTTTGTTCCTAATCCTTTTGTGGAACTCTCTTGAATTTTTTATCTATTGTTCTCATGTGAAGAAAAATTTCTTTGCCATCATTTTCTCATCTTCAGCTGTAAAAAGTTCTGCTTAACCCTCAAAACTGTTCTGATTCTTGTTGATAATTATTGTCTTTAATATTAGGACAATGATTAATTGTTCATTAAATATCTTTTATAGTGATTGAATTTCGTACACGTAATATTTTGAATTAAGGAACTTTTACCTAACTTTATGTTAAAATTAATTTTAACATACCTAAACAATAAGCTAATGTTAAAAAGAGAAAACTGTTGAAGAAACCAGCAGAACATTTTTAAGAATTGTATTTTTTGCATGAAACATTATTTTATAGGAGTTAGTCAGGTAGAAGAAAGATTTTTTTAATCTAAATACAGTGTTTTTAAGAAATCACCATGCCATTGCAGCAGCCACATACTTTTGTTATAACTTTTTTATTCTGGTGAAGCTTTTGAATGCAGATTATGAATAGCAACTAAATTGTGGTCACAGTCATGAGAAAGAATTCCTTGTTAAGAAAGAAGTTCTTCAGAGTTTTGTTTTTGTTACCCCTTGAAAAATAAAAAGAGGATCATGAAATGGCAATCTTTTTGAATTTGTGCATTTTATTCTAAAATGCAGTCTTCAGAACAAAGTTCCAAATATTGTAATACCAGTACAAATTTTCCTCTCAATTGCTGTAAGTGTTGCTTGCTGTGAACATCTATTTCTAAATAAAAGTAGTTTAAGAAGTATTTAAAAGCTACAAATGTATACATTGCATTTGAGAAATCTTTCTCTACTGTCTGCGTAACAGCAAGAGTAGTCAAATAGTATTGCTACAATGCAGCTGAGTATTTTGGAAGCAATAAGACTAATGATATAATTTTAAAATATTAGAACAAAAGATTTTCTTCAGAAGTTCAAAGTAGAGTTTTATTTCCCTGCATATCATTTGGAGATATTTTGCAGTTATTTGTTTGCATACTAAGATGGGCAGCAAACTCAGGGACATCCCGCCCAGGTGGCAAAAGTTTTAGCTTTGCCACTGATTAGAACAGACGCATGCAAAATGATAATAATCCCACGTTGGTAATTATGAATAATTGATGTACTGTAAAACAATTTGCAATAACTAGTAAATGAATTGTGAATTTCTTAAGGAGCTTTTTATGGGTTGAAGGAAATTAAATTTACTTACCAGTTTATATTTTCTTCATGATTTACTAGGGCATGATGAACAAAATTTTTTAATAATTTGGATTAGGATTACCTAATCATATTTATTGGATAGGTATATTTAAAATTATGTGTGATAATTAAACTGATATGCATAATCTAAATTGTATATGTTTAATAAATATATATTATTACTACCTGAAGATAGTATTCTTCACATTATAATTTCTTTATTCTGATGTGTGTAATTTCTAGAAATTTAAGCATCTTATTTGCCTTTTGCTAGTTCTGATAGTTCTATAAAATTATGTAGTATTGCTAATTGGAACTTAAAATTAAGGGCTGTTTTAGCAGCTTTAAAACCTGTGCCATTCCGAGAGTTTATAATGAATATAAGACTATCATTTGCTGTCCAAAGCTGGTGTAAAGTATATTTAAACACATACTGCTGTTACAAATCTTGAAAAGCACTGGATGGGCAAATTATAACATGTTGCTTATAAAAATGTGATAAGCTGTCAGAGGATTAATGTGTGATTAACCTGCAGGTCTTTAAAAAAAGGTTTTGCAGTACTTTAAGGGAGAAAATTAATTTGATTTTATGGAACCCTAAATTTTCATTTTTTCGATATGCATTTAAAGAGCAGAAATAAATACTTGGTAGGTTTATAAAAAGTACTTATAATGGCTCAGAATGCATAAGTTTAAATGAATTGTTTCAGATTTCTGAAGAGCTCTAGTTAAATATACTGTTATTATTTTGATTAAAATGGCATATCATTCTAGTCTCATTAGTTTTGTGGTTGAGGGTAGAATAGGGGGAGAAGGGGGGGGGAAAGAGAAGGAAAAAAAAAGCGCGGAAAGAGAGAAGAAGGGCAAGAGAGTAAAAACGTCAGGGGGGGAAACAAAACAGAAAAAAAAAAAAAAAAAGAAAAAAAAAAAAAAATAAAAAAAAAAAAAAAAAAAAAAAAAAAAAACAAAAAAAAGGGAAGGGAATAAAACAGGAGGGGAAAACAAAAAAACGGAAAAAAAAGGATAAATTAAGACTCTCGTACGCGTTTGAGTTGTTGAGGTTTTTTTCCTTGTTTCAGGCTTGCTTTTTTTGGCTTACACTTTCCACGGCTTTTTCCCCCCCTTCCTTAGGAACTACTTTCGCAGCTCTTCTCTGACATGCGCCGATTCCCGTTCATTCTCCGCGTACCGTCCCCATTATTAACCATCTGCCCTATGCAGGGTGCGCTCATAAAATCGACCCGTTCTGCCCTCCTTGTTTATGGCTTCCTCTTTGTTATTCGGTTGAGTCTCTCAGCCGGAGAGCGCTTCTAGACTCTCTGCCCGAGACCGTAATTCTCGGACTATAGTAGCTCCTTCCGTCCTCCTATCCTTTATGTAGTGCCTTGGACTCTCCCTCTGAAACAAAAAAAAACCATAATGGGGGAACAAACGACAGATTCTGGGGTTGTCTCGTTCGCTGACCGCCACCATTGGATGGCCCCTCATCTCTTGCCTTGATATGGCGGAAAAAGGAAAAAAAAAGCATCCCGTTTCTCACCAGCGACTTGAGCGTTCCTCAATGCCATCTCCCTTTGCGCCTCCTTCATCGCTGTCGCCCTGATTGTCAGGCAGTTTCCGTCCGAGGTCCCACGTGTTCCTTTGCATTGGCTCTTAGTTTCTGCTACTGAGGGCTGTTCAATTCTTACCTTCGAACTATTTTTACTTCGAATGCCTTTTTCCAACTTGCACTTAGCGACCGACCGCACGTATCATTAAATTTCGTCACCCTCCGGACCTTTGTCTCCTCTTATATAAGAGGGTTGGCGCGACGGAGCCCACAAGTTTCTGCCTGCCGCCGAGGGTTGCGTGGTGCCCGGGACCCGTCGGTCCTTATGGTACGACCTTCCTTCATCCGCCCCGTTCCTCTTCCCCTGGCTACCCGCCTGTGCCTCGCAAAGAAAATATATAAAAGAAAAAAATAAAAAAACAGGAAAATAAAAAAGCAAAAAAAAAACAAAGGAAAAAACAAAAAAAAGGGGAAAAAAGGGAAAGGAAAAAAAAAAGAGGGGAAAGTCCCGTTTTGTTGAAAGACAAATAAAAAGCTTGGATAACTGTCCTCGTTCCGCCTAATGCGGTGTCTACCTTCCCCTTAAATTCGGCACTCAGCCGCCTTTTCGTCCTCCCCTTCCTGGCGGATCTTCTTGAGCCGGCACCCGCTCGTCATGTCTTCGTCGGGTTCCCCATCGTAACACGTATTGGGTACCCACTCGAGACCGCTGGTTGTCCGTAATGGTTGTCGGTTGTGCTTGGCATGGGGTTCCACGTTTCTCGAGCCTGGTGAGGTAGCCGGGGATGCGTTTTACCGTTCTGCACGCCGGGGGTGCTGTTTGCTTTCGTTATTACGCCATAGTGTTGAGCTCCCTCCCTTTCCCGGGAGGTGGTTTTTTGCAACTAAGTTGCACTACGGAGCGCATTCTGATTTTGCTTTATCCTCATTCGAACCTCTCTAATATCCGCTCGGCGTTTGCTTCCCGGCTGCTTGGGATCCCCAACCGCCATTTTGGGAGCGGGACTTGACTAACCTCTATTCAGGTGCTCAGGCGTACACGTTCTTTCGTATTCCTTCCCCTCCACACATATAGAAAAAAAAAAAAAAAATAAAAATAAAGGAAAAATAAATAAAAAATAGAAAAAAAAAAGGAAGGAATAAAGAAAAAAAAAAAAAAAAATAAAAAAAGATCGCTCTTAACAAAAAAAAAAAAAAGGTGTGGTGAGAAAATAAAAAACAACAAGATAAAAAGAAGAGAAAAAGGAAAAAAAACAAAAACAAAAAGAAAAAAAACAAAAAAAAAAAAAAGGTTATGCTCTGACGATCCGCGAGCTTGGGCGGCTTGCTTCCGCTGGCCTGGGTCAGTGGTTTACCGTACAGTCCCACCCACTCTGGCGTTGTAGCAAACGGGGTGCGCTCGAAGCCGGTAGTTAGGACACGCGCCGAGTCGTAGAACAGGTCATGACATTGCGTCTCTTTGATCCTCCTCTTTTTTTGGAGGCCTTCCGGAGCCAGCCTCAGTCGGTGCGACGGTGCCAAGTACGGGCATTAGTCTGCCACTCTTTGCAGCATTTCTAAGGTGAAGTCGTGTAGTGTGTGTCGTGTGAGC